ACAAAAATCATAATCTCTTAAAATATCCTTTCTATTTTTGGCCTATAGGGAAAAAATTTTTTCCTTAAAAAACTAACACAAAAAAAAATTCTTATAAAAAAAATTTTTTCATATTTTTCATAAATGATCAAAAAAAAATAAGATTTCACTAAAATAGCAAGCAGAATAGTCGTCCCCTTCGGATATTTAGAGACCTCTACATATTGGATGCATGTGTATATTTAAAATACATTAAATTCGCATTATGTTCTTGTACAAACCCACCTATATACCTATACAAAATACACACATCAATACCGTTTTTTTTAATGAATTCTTTCATATTATACACATTGAGACCAGACATTTAATCCCTAACATCTCAGACAGGTCAAATTAAAAAAAAGCACACACAAAATCACTATTAGAGAAGGTGAAATCGCAAGGATTGAAATAAATTTTATATATATAGCTATATAGCACACTTGTAGCAAGTAAAACACGCAAAATAATTATAGATTGTTGAAAGGTAAAGTTCATCATGCTATGTAAAAAGCTTCCAAGTAAAAAAAAATAAATAATTAATTTTTTATTTTTATTTTTTTTTTATAATATTGTACGAGGATTTTTGTGTATTTTAATATTTTTATCTGTAATTTAAATAGATGTAGTAGAAATAATCATTTGAAAAACAAATTACATTACAAAATAAATAAAAAATTTAATGAAAATATGAAAAACTCGTTGGGAGTACAGCTTTGTAGAGTAGCCCATTTCCTATAAGTAATAAATCAAATTACTGACTGTGTTCTATCAAAATACTGTTCTATTCAAATTGCATGTTATAATAATATTATTGCATTACTGGAGGGGAATGACGTATTGTATACATTTAAGAGAAAATTTATTGCATACCTTTAGGAGAAGAATACGCTATTTAAAATAGGCATAAACGAAATATACTGTTATTATATCAGTTAAAATGGATTAAAAACGTAGCAGGATTACGAATGATATCCATAAGGCACGAATAGGGCGGATAAAATTCAGGCAAACTTGGAAGGGTATAAGTGTGAATGATACAAGGTGAATTGAAAAGATATGGGCACAAATCTAAATGAGGTAATTGTTAAAGCTCTAGAGTTGTACAGTAAAAAATATCGAATTCCAAATAACGAAGAAGTTTAAGAGCAAGTTTTATCACAGTGTCTTTTGCCATACTCATTCACAGTGTTTTTCCGATTTCGACACAGACGGATTTTGTTGGTTCTTTTAGGGGTTATAATTTGTTTAAAAAATTCGAAAATGAAATTGTAACAAACCGGACAAAATGGCCAGACAAAAAGGCAGGAAAAAAAATAGCACTTAAATTACATATTTTTTGAAATTTTATTGGATTTGTGCTCTAAAGAACTAAAATACTCAATGTTGATTCGTTTTCTAAATAAAACATAAAAATTTATACGATCTGAATGTCTTTTATAAAAAAAAATTTTCTCTATCTCTTTCGCATATAAAAGCGATTTTAACTAACATTTATGTACTATAGAATTTATATGTCAATATCCTGCGAAATACTAGTAAATTATGATTTATCTATTCAAAATTATATTTGCTTTCTAGTATATTTACGAAAGGATGCACATATACACTTCGTATGTGTACTATGTTTGTAATTTTTCACTATTATATGCCATATAATGTAGATGTTATCTTTAAAAAATAAAAATGTAAATAAAGATTATAAGAGTATTGAGTTCTTATAGAATTTTGTTTTTAAGCTCACACAGCTATGCAATAAGAATTTTTAAGTTCATATCATTGCATGTATTCTTTTAATATGTCTAATTATATAAGTATGATGATGTCTAGATATAGTAATAGTGAAGAGCATTTAAAATTATGAATATGAACTTTGAAAAATTATTAAAGAATTTGAACTTAAAATGAATTTAAAGGATTTCTTCTGTTTTTATTTTTTAAGAATTTTTTAAATGTTTCCTTTTAAGAATGTTGATATAAGTTCAATGGCAAAATTTTCATTTGAAAAGTTTCTAAATTATTATTTAATAATGTGAATAGAACTATAGAAATAAATTTATTAACTGCGAGTTGATAAAATTAACTACTTTGTATTTTAATGTCATTTTGTGCTCATTGAATTTTTTCATAATTATGTGCGAATTATAGTGATAATTACTTCAAAAGCTGTGTAAGAGTATGTCTTCTTTATAGTGTATAAGAAAATAGTGTATAAATAAGGAAAAAATGTCGTCGTAAATAACTGACATATTTGACATAAGTGAAGAATTCTATACAATGAGTACATAAAATGAGTGAAAAATTTCATGTGATATATGAGTGGACATTTTTTTTTATGAAATATGAGTGGAATAAGCAAGCATGAATTTAATAGAAAATTTCAATTTCATCTGATAGAAAATTATAAAATAATTGAGGGGAAAGCATTACTCTAAATCAATAGTGAAAAATTTTATTGAAAATTTTAAGTACCCAAAGTTTGAAAACAAAATATCGACGCGGGGATATATATGTATAAATAGTTCGTTACAAATAAGTGAAAAATTTTATGACAAATTAGAAAAAAAAATATTATGTAGAAAGGTCACATAAAAATCAGCGCAAATTCACTCACACAAATGAGCGAAAATTTTGTGATGAGTTAAAACTAATTAGTTTAAATCACTATAAATTTTTGAAGAAATTTCATATAAAAGTGAGTAAAAATAGAAATGCAAATATGTTCATCTTAAATTTTACAATGAATTTTACAATAAATTTTATGGTAATTAAGTAGAGAACTTCGCTAACATTAAGTAGAAAATAATTAATGAGTCAAAAATTTTCCGTCAAATGAGTGAGAATTTTAATGTCACGCGCATTTAAGTAGTAAATTGTGCATGCCTTGAATTGAGAATTTCAGGAAAACATTACTCTCACTTTTTGTTTTTGAAACTAGTGTTTTTGAAATCCACTTATACATATAGGAAATAATTATCGAACACATTTTTGCTAGAGGCACGTGGCAAGACGATATTAAATGACTGTCAAATATTCTTTATCGAATCAGTAAAATTTTATTTAAAATGAAGATAAAACAAATTATCCCATGACACCACGTTTTTCTTCAATTTATCAAATATTATTTATTGGTTAAACTTAAAATTTCTGAAATTGATGACTTAAACTGTTTGATAATTGTTTCAAAATTTTTGTCAATTAATTTTAAATAACCTTGGGAATACTCAAAAAAAAATAAAATTTAACTCAACTTAAACTATTTAATTCTACACAAAATCTTTAAAAAAGGAGCCTATTTAAACAACAAACGAACTGATAACCTCTTAATACAACAAAGATTGCAAGCAGTAAAACCATACTTTCTAATAGCATAATGCAGCATCAATATTTTGTCTGAATATTTGAAATAGATAACGCGAATGATGTGGTCAACAATCATTCTACATTTTTTTTCCGATGAATGCAGTCTAAAATAAAAAATTTGCATTAAAAAAATATTTTTAAAAAATTATTCATTCTTTTTTTTATTGAAAATAATTTTTTTTATTTAAATAAAATTTTATTTTAATTTAATAAATGGATTTTAAATGGAGTTGAAAGGATTGGCTTTTATGTTTTTTTTTTTTGTTTTGAAATTTTTTTCATTTTGTATTAAAAGGGTTTATCTTTCACCAACCATATTGATATTTCCTTGTTTTCGTATGCATTTTTTAAATTAACACAAATAAAAAACAAAAATTATTCGGATTTCATATTGTTTTTTGACCATCCTATGTGGTACTTAATGGTTTTCTTTTTTTCAATTGAAGTTAATAAAATTATTGATAATTTTTTTTTTTAGTAAAGTGAAATCCGATAAAATGCATAATTTTTATTTTTTTGTTTTGGATATTGAAAAGAAGTTGTTAACCTAAAAATTGACAATTAAATTTTTAAAATATGTAAAAATTGTTTCGCTTTTATCTATAGGAATGATGAATTTTCAATAATGCCAATAATAAGTCTAATCCTCTCTTTTATTTTGTTAACAATAGAAAGAGGAAAAAAATGGTTTTTATTTAATTTGAGATTTTACTAAATATTGGCCATGAGTTTTTAACTATTATCATTGTGTATATCTTCCAGAATCTCTTTCAGAAGAATGTTTGATTCTTTTCAAAGCTGGTTCTAATGGGCGATTTGTTGCTAACTAAATAAAATTTGTTGCTAACTAAAGGCAAAACAGCAAATTTTCAGGGAATACGAGTTCAAAAGGTTTTCAAATTCTTCTTGATTTGTCCTCCATAACTAGATTACTAAATAATTTACCTTTTTAAATCATTTAAATCATTTGGATTTTCTATGATGTACGAGCAAAAGGCTGTTCTTAATTACAATAAACTAGAAAACTATATGCAAAAAACCTCGGTGTTTAGCAAGTATCCTTTTATACTGTACAAAAATGGTTGTTAAGCAGTTTTGTATCTAAAAATTTGTATTTTTTCTCTTACATCATTCCTACTAACTCCCATGTAATTTCTAAAGACGAAAATGTTTTAAGAATGAAAAGTAAAGGCCAATTTAAAATGCCACCAAGATCTTTCCAACGAAATGGTTTGCAACTTATTCGGTCTTCTAGCGCAGAAGTTATTATTGTGTTAAAATTTCGATGGGTTAGATAGTCTACGGATAAGCACAAGATGAGGAATTGAATAAGCCGTTGTTTTTTTAATTTTTGCGGAATCAGCAACTTGGTCAAAATTAGAGCTTAACGAGAAAATAACAAAATTTCAATTTTATACCTATGCATTTTTGTTTCCGAATGAATAACACACTGTTCTGAGTGTTCGGTAACGACACTGTACGACACACTAATTCTGTTTTTTATTTTAAATATTCAATTTTTATTATTTAATTTCAATTTATTTTATTTTCATTTTATTTAAATTTTTTTTTCCTTTTTTTATTTTTCATTTTCATGAATATTCATAAATCTAAAGGCGAATTGGTTTAAGGCTGCCCAGTATTGTAGATACCATGGTATGCATTTATCTAGTATATCATCACAGGAAGAAAACGATAGACTGGAGAAATATATTAGAGATTTTGGTAAGTACACGATTATTTTTTACAAATATAACAATTATATCAAGTCTACTCCACCTCTCCCTTAAACACATAATAATAATATATTCTAAAACTTAAATTGAAGTAAATTAAAGAGAATTTGTATCATGATAGTAATTTGAATTACTTTGATTTAGTTGTATGATAGTAATGAATTACTGAAACCTCCGTTGTTCCCTTAGGCGTTACTATAATTAATTCATAGAAACCTTAAGGCGACACTATTACATCTACGTAGTTTTAGATTGAAAACTTAATTCATAATTTCAATACTTAATTACATATACGTACATACAAAAACTTATATTAAAAAATAAAGAAAAAATTATACAAAATTTTTTTAAGTGACTTTCATATTATGAACTTGTCAAATATTGTAATTTCTCTTCATTAATGCTAATTTATAATGAACAAGAATATACTAAAGAATTTTTGCTTTTCGCTTTTGTTCTTATAAAATTCAAGAAGAATTTTTCATTTTTTAAAACAAAAGAATTAAATATTCTCACTATATTTTTCACCCATTCTCTCTCTCTCTCTCTTTGTTCAGTTTTTCCCCCCATAAGTACTTGAAGTGAAAAATACCTGTAAAATGAAAATGAATATTAAATTGTCGCAAAATTTCACAGTGCCGGAAAGAATGTGTCTTATATAAGTACATTTTATGTCGCTCTCTCTATCTCCTTCCCCCACTATCTCTGTTTTTACATTCTTTTGTCATTTAATTTAGTACCTATACAACTTGTAAAAATACTTGAAATATTTTATATGAATATTGCTCGCTTTATATAGAAAATTTATTTTGCTTTGTTTTCATTATTTTATTTGGCATTTTTCCTGCTTATTCTTTTAAAGAATTTTGAACTTCTTTGCTTCATCTCACTTCCTTTTCCCTACCAATTTTTCTCATATCCTTTTAAATACTACTTGTATAGCTTTTGGCTGCCATTTAATTTTTAAACCACGTCAAAGTTAAAATTTATAAAAGGTCTACTTTATGTATTATGGAAGTAAAAATTTATTGTATACCAAAATAAATGTATGAATGTTTGTGTAAAATTTTTACTTGTTCATGGCAGTATGATTGTAAAAGTATTTGTTATGTGCATTGTGCATGCACTGTGCACAATGGTTTTTTTTCTCTCGCTCTCTTCATTTATAATTTTTACAATATTATGTTGGAAAAGTGTATAGCATGAGTTAGTGATTGTAATGACATAAATATTAAAATAATAACGTGGCCTTTGATTCCTTTCATAAATATAATATAAAAAAAAAATAAAATAAAACAAGAACGGTAAACCAAGTAGGGTTACATGCACTGTGTGTTTTTTTTCTTTCTGAAATAACCAAAGTTATAGGCAGAATTCGTGTTTGTATAAGTTTCGTTGCTCCTTTTTGATTTTTATGTGATTTCTTTTGTGTCTTTATAGAAATACATTTAATTCCTTTTTAACATTTTATTTTTATGTTTAACTGCTACAGTTTAGAGACAAAATGCAATTGAAAAATGGAAGAAGGCAGAATAAAGTGAATACAGTGATTTGCCATATTTGCTGTATTTTGAATTATGAAGAGTTGCCTCCGAGGGAAGTTAGTAGAAAATTAAGCATTGCGAAAACACAACCCAGAATATTCCTAAAAATTTCGAAACTAATTAAAGACTTTTTAAGATATTTTGGATTTATCACAAATTTCAAAATAATTTCTAGAAAATAAAAAACGTGCGAGCTTCCATGATTGAAGCGGAAGAGTAGAAAATCGATAATTTTTAAAAATCAGACTTACAATTTTCATTGGTTCTAGTTAAAAAGAGTACGAGAATATTTCATAAACATATCCATTGCCTCTTTATATACACTGCAAATTTCTCAGAATTTTATTTCTCAATATTAAATGTTTTTTTGAATAATTTTCAATTTGACAAATTTAATTTAAATTCAATTGTGTAGAATTCAATTTTTTAATAAATTTTTAACAATCTAAATTTATTATTGATATTTTCAGTTTTTCAATATTCAATTGAATTTTATTTAAATATTTAATAATTTTGCACATGAATTATTTATTTAAAGAAAAGGCACTATGAATTTATATATTAAAGGTACAACAAATCTGTATACAATGTAGTGATGGTACTACAAATAAATATTCTAATCTTATTGTTAAGAATTACTTGAAAAAATTCTACGTCCATAGGGCCGATAGCGAGCAGTTTTTGGTATATGTGTAGAAATATTTAAAAATCTGCCACATATTAAATGAAATCAAAGAATTAGATGTTAATCGTCCGAATCATCTTTAAAAAAAAATTTCGAAAATCTTTTAAAAGAATTTCGAAAATATAATTCAGTTTATTTTAAAGCCGATCAAACTTCTAGTTTATAAAAATTCCACATTTCTAGAAAAATGAGCCATTGAAGGGAGAAAGTTTCATTAAAATTATTATTCGTAAATGTCAGCCATTGCATATATTTAGGAGCAAATGAAATTAAGCTAATATATTTGAAGAAAAGAAGTTCAAAGAGAAATTTCAATTGTAATTTAAATGATTGTCTAACGAAGATCTGTATTTTGCTTTAGAATTCGGATTTACATAGCATAGATAGTTGGATGAACCAGTAAAGCTGTTAAAATATTTTCTAAACCAATTTAAAAACAATTAATCACTCAAACTCTTCAAATTACCCAAGCTCAAATTTAGTTTTCGGTCTTTTAACTTGATCTACTCAAAACCTCCAAATTTTGAATTAAATTGTATCGCCTTCTTTTCCACAAGCAAAATATTTTCTTTTTAAATGAACTTTTGAATTTTTAATAATTCTAATCCATAAAATGGTTGTGTTCTGTGAATTTTTCAATTGTGAATACGGTAAAGTAAAAATAAAATCACAAAAATATACTGAAAAAAAAAAAAATTTAACTTAAATTTCCTTTCATGTTCGTATTTTTTCCCTCCACATGATGTTTTCAACTTGTATTTTTTTTTTTATTATTATTATTGTAGCTACAATTTTTTCTCTCTCTCTCTCTCTTTACATGTGTATGCAATATAAAAAGTACCTTGAACTTAAATTATAAATATATTTTTTTTTACCTTTTTAAAAGTCACATCAGAACAATAAAAATACCCTCATAAAATAATAAAAGAGTATAAAAATAATAATAATAAGATATATGGGAAATTGAAAATAAAATGAAAAAAAAAGAGGAGAGAACAACCGGAAAAGATCCTTAAAACTCAACTTGAGAACATGAAGTTTTTTTTGGTGTTTACTTTAAGAATTCTACTAAAAACCAGAAAGCAAGAAATCCGATTAACTTATGTTTTTTTTTTAAAGGAAGTGTTTGTTTTAATAGTTACACAGCAGCTTTAAAGTTATTTTGAAAACAATAAAAAAAAAAAATTTCATATTGTGAATAACACTGTGAATTTTTCATGTATTTTTTATGCATTCTGTTTTACAACATTGCCTTTTTCCTCCTCTATAATGTTTTATTTTATGTTGTCAACGAAGAATCCATGTAAAACAAGAAACAAAGACTTAAAATATAAAAATACATAAAATTTGTGAATGAAAAAAAAAAATAAATAATAATAATGAGAAAATTTAATTCTTTTCCAGACACAAAATAAATAAAAATTATGAAGTTTAACCAACCAAGCTTCAGTGTTCATAAATTATTTTCTTTTATAAATATTTTTATTATAAAAATCTACTCAATTCCTGGACGGCTCCTTTTCGAAATTTATTTATTTTTTAGCTCAAATATGGTATTAATTTTAAGCTTTTCACAATTATTTTATTTATAGGGAATTTTATTTGAATTTATCAAGTTCCAAACGAATATTTTGTATTCTAGATTTTGGATTTATATGGATGTTAATTTGAGAAAATATTCTTGACTTTTATTGTGTTTCTTTCATATTTATAGTAAATGTTTATAATTTAACTCAATTTTTTAATCTTTTATTCCAATCTTTCATAGTAGAAAAATATTTTTGAAAATAAAGAGCCAGTACTGCATTTTGAAATTGAATTTAATTAATTTATAGAGTAGGTTTCGTACAAAACGTACAATTGTAGCGTAACAAATTTTAATGGACACTTTAACCCCACTCTGATTTTTTTTTAAATCTGATATATTGCCTATAGTAATTATTGGAAAGCACATTTTTGCTGTGTGTGAAATTTTTAAATTTGACCCATCCGCGTTTAAAGATCACGAGACATAGAATTTTTTAATTGTACTAAAATGTTTCGTTCTAAAACCTCTCCTTAAATATCTATGAAACCTCCTCAACTCATCAAAATAAAATTAATGTACATAGTCTAATTCAAGTATTTCGATAAATTTCCGGCTCTTTCTTAAATAATAATTAAGAAATCTTAAATTATACTTCGTTTTTATTTAATTATGAGTATTTTAAGTGAATATTAAGTTTTAATTGAATTTTTATGTAAGCAGTTATAAGGTACTCATAACCTATTTCACTCGGCGCACCTTCTGATGGAATGCGGAGCCCTCGCCCGCATGAGAATGGAGATACTGGGGAATTAAGTGCTCACTCCAGCAGAGCTGTTTTCTATTAGGCCTTCAAAGTTATTCAAATTCATCAAGAGGTTGGGTCTTATAGGTGTTGTAGGTCTTGGTGCACTATTATCCTTTTTTGCAATCTACAATCTACAACCTATTTCATTGAATTCTATTAATACGAGCATAGGAATAGCTGAAATAATTTAATAACAGTTTTATTAAAAATTCGTTCTTCGATTATTTTAACTCTCCCTAACAATATCGACCCATACATATTGTAATTCATAATTTTATAATATTTTATCAATTTTTTTAAATAAAGTTCTCTTTCGTGTTCATATTTAAATCACAAAAATTTTATTCTCACTTTAAAAATTTTAATATATACACTCAATTTTCCTCAACCGTCATATAAATATGCGAGACAGATAAGGAAACATTTTGTGAATAGCATTATTATTGTGAATAGAAAATTTACGTAGCAATAATTTTGTATATTCTTGAAGTTCTCATGATTTTGAGATTTATAATTCAAAAAATTATGTTGAAAATTAAAATTTTCTAATAAAATTAAAAGTGCAACCTGAATGACGTACGAAATACTAGTTTTATGCGGCAGTACGCTGAGTCAGGTATTTCGATAGTTCCCCTTTCAATATAGACGTTTAAAAATTTTTCTTAATAGAAAATATACGGCTTCATTTAAGTTAAACAGTAGGACATTTAGGAAATCTTTAGAATTTAGATTTAAATTTGCGAGGATTTCTTAGACCTAGATAAATAATTACGAGTATATCCAATTTCCATACTCTATATACCATTCTCTTTTATCATTACAAACGAAATATAAAATAATTAATGTAATTTTATTTTCAACACTCTCGTATATAAGTGCCTCGGTTTTGTTATTTTAAATAAAGTCGATAAAAATTGTATAATTTTTACTTGTCCTTAACACGTCTAGACAAATAAGACTGGGTATATATAGGAAGGTACAATTATGTATAGCCATTGCGCTGAAAAAGAGCAAAGACATAAAGAGTTGAAATTTATTGGTTAAAAAAAAAATATAAATAAATACAAAATTAAATTAAAAAAAAATTACTAAAATGTTAAATACAAAAAAAAATTTTTTTATACAGGAAACACAAAAATGTTAAGTAACAACAATGTTGTTAACCTAAACAATTCAATATTTTAATTTGTTAACTTGTCTCTATAAGGGTTGTAAATGAAATATTTCTTTCTTGTTTGTATAAACATTGAAATAGAAAAAGAAGAAAAGAGAGAAAGGTAGTGAGCCTTTTGAGCAAATAATAACAAGGCAAAAATAATTTCCTATTTTGCTAAAAATATTCACTGCATGAAGTAGAAGGAGGGTGTGTGTGTGTGTTGGTTGTGCTTTCATAATAAATTTTCTTCATTCTATTTTGAAGAATACTGAAACTATATAATTACCAGTAAGTTTTGTGAATAGACAAAACAAAATGTAAAATGTGAAGAGAAGAAGGGGGATGGGGAAAGGGCGGGATATGTACGTTTTTCTGTTTTATATACGTAAACGGAAATGTAATTAGAAATTTTTTATTTCTTATTCTCTTTTTTTTTGTTGTTATCCTTAATGATGGCAAGGAAAAAATTATAAAAGGATTTTTTTTTATTTGTACATGATAGAAATGGATAAACAGCAACTGGTGTCCATTTTATTTATTTATTTTTTTTTTTTTTCTTTATGCTTTCTTTTTACGATGAGTTTATATTAGAAATTTTAGGGCCATGTTTTTTGTGTTCGGTTTTTGTTTTTTTTTTTTTGAAAAGGTTAAGAAAAATAATAAAGTTTTTAAGAATTTTATTTAAGTTTCATGAGAGCTTTTATAAATGGAAAAAAATTAAAATTAAATCATAGCATGCGAATTATAATTTCTTTTATTCTCAACAGGGAAAATTATTTCAGACAACACACGAGAAAATTCCATGAAATTAGAATGAATGGAAAAATGTGGAAGAATTCATATTAAAAATAACACAATGACTTAAAAATTAAGTTATACACATGTTATTCCGAAAAGTTTTTCATACCTTTATTACTAATATTAAGATGTTTTATAATCTTGACATTTCTTCTTATTCCTCCCCAGCGTTAAAGGCCTCTGGGAATCAAATTTTTGTCTTCTTTTAATTTTCTATATTTTTCCATTAACCACTGGTACTTTGGGTAATTATTCACTCTCTTAGTAATAACATCTACTATGTCTAGTCATTTGGTTTTGGCTTGCAATGCATGAATATTCTCTCTCATTGTCATTAGAAATATTAATCAAACAAACTTTTACAAATCGGTACTTCTACATCGATTGTGTATAGATTTAGATTTGTTAAATTGATTACTGGTTCTTTTTCCTGCTTCTTCTCCCCCTGCCCCTTTTTCTGTCGACTGAAGACAAATCCACCGCAGTTATTGATACGCTGGCATTTTAATACATTTTCGCTTTAATCATCACTAGTATTATTTCCGCCTTTCGGTTCGAAAATGATGTATTTTGTTGAACTTTTATATTTTTCAAAGTTGATATGAAAGTTTTGATGATAAACGTGAATATTACACGATAAAAGTGAGCTTTCTACAATTGCATATGATACATATAATTCATATTTATATGATTTCTGCCTTTTGGCCTTTTCTCTCGCTTTCTTTTCTTCGTTGTCTTGTTCCTTCTTTTGTCGCGCCAGCTTTTCTTCCTCCTCTTTTTAGTTCTACTTCTACTAATTTTTCTCTTTCTCCTCCTCTTTATTTTTCTTCTTATCGTCTTTTTCTTCCTCGTCTTTTTACTCTTACCCCTAACCTTTCTCTTTCTCTTCGTTCCTTCACTTTTCCTGCTTTTAGTCATCACTTTTCCTTCCCTTTCTTTCTATTTCTACTTCAACTTACTTTTTTTATCTCTTTCTTTTCCTATCTTTCTTCTTGTCACCTCATTCCTCTTTCTTCTCCTCCTCCTTCGCCTTATCAACATTTTCCTCCTCCTTCTTTTTTCGTCGTCATTCTTCTTCTTTCCTCTTCCTTCTTCCTCCCTCTTTCCCTTCTCCTTGTCACTCCTTTTCACCTTTTTCCCCTTTTTCTTCTCCTTTCTTTTCTCTTCCTCCTCTTCCTTACCTCCTATTTCTTTTCATACTAAAATTAATTTAAATAATATTCCTACTCCTCCTTCTCGTTTTTCTTCTCCTTGTCACTCTTTTTCTCCTTCTTCTTGCAATCTTTTCCTCTTCCCTTTCATCTTTTTCCCCTGTTTTCTTTTTCCCCAATTTTCCCTCATACCTTTCCTTCGCTCGGCCCCCCCCCCCCACCTATCTTTTCCGAACTTTCAACTTTTTGAAATAAATCTATTTAAATTATTATTTTATTTCCATTGTACTTATTAATTAATTTCTGTTTTTTTTTTTCTATATATTTTTTTAGGACTTGGACATGAACATTTTTGGACATCTGGTACAGATTTAGCTGATGAAGGTAATTTCTTTTGGATGGCAAATGGACGACCAATTACATTTACAAATTGGAATGCTGGTGAACCAAATAATTTCCGTTATGAAAATGGTGAAGAAGAAAATTGTTTAGAATTATGGAATCGTGATGGAAAAGGATTAAAATGGAATGATTCACCATGTAGTTTTGAAACATATTTTGTCTGTGAAGTACAATCACAATAAAAGTAAACAGCAAAACAAAAAGAAAATTTGTATAACGACGACATTTTTTTTTTTTAAATAATACGACGAAATTTTTCTAAATTTCTTATTTTTTTTTTTTCATAAAATATCAAAAGAATTCATTAAAATATCCTTAAAATAAATAAGTAATTAATAGGGATGCAATACATATATACTTATATACTATAGGAATGTTATGTGTATTGATATATGTATGTGTATGTGTAAGTAAATCGCAAAATACATATACTTATATAGGAATTTTTATTATGTGTATAGTTGTATATTCGTTTTTTCATATTCTGTGTATATAAAGGAATAAAATCGTATTTTCTTCTTTAAAATAATTAAAAAATAAAAATTAAAAAAAAAAAATTAAGAAAAAAATTAAACAAATCCTTAGAAATTCTTCCCATTTATCCTTTTTATTTTTAAAATATAAAAAAAATATTAAATATTTTCTTCATTTTCATCACGTTTATTGTATAGAAATAATAACATTTATATATAGGAGAAGAAGAAAAAAAAAAACAAGAAAAAAAAAAAGAGAAAATAATTATTATAAAATAAATTTATATGTATGTGTTTGTATGCATATTGATTTTAAATAATTTTTTTTTTAGTATTAAGTTTAATTTAATTTACAAATTTATAATTATTTTATTTGTATATAAGTTTATAATTACATACATACATACATATGTATATTTGTGTATTATTTACAAAACATAAATTTATTATATTGTATTTTTAACTGAAAAAATCATCAAAAAATCAAAAACAAAAAAAAATATAAGCAACATGCAATCCAGTTCAGTTCAATTCAGTTCACTATTTTTCTATAGTTGCGTGTTCCTCTATATCAAAGTAAAAAATTATGTTATAAATTTAATTGTTTTCTTACCCTAATTCCTCTCACCTCCACTCCACTTTCATGCAATATGACTGCTTCCTCATACTCACTGTATTATCAATCATATATAGATTTTAATTTTTTTTTACATGCACCTGTTCATTTTAACTGGTAATTATTTATAATATTATGAAAATGTCAGTTTAATTTTCACACGCATTCTTTTTTTTTTTTTGTTTTTGTGTCATACGCCGTATATGAGTCCTTATACAAAGATTATTAAGAATATTATTATTTCACTTTACAAATATTTTTATTATTTATTGTTCGAAATAATGTAAGAGTCAGATGTAGAAAATTTCATATTATAGTGGCAGGAGTATAGTAGCAGTAGTAACAGTAGTAGAGAGAGTAGTTAGAGAGTGGAACTTCGTAAACTGTTTAGTAAATTTTTAAATGATACACGCGTGCGCACACAGACCGACGGACCGACAGACCGACAGGTTGCTAAAAATAGTTTATTTATACTTCTCTACTATGGAGAAGTGTATTCCCATCGAAAACTCGATATGCAAAATTTGTTGCCATCACATAACTTACCTCTTGCATATATAATACGGTCGGTAAAAACGAGTCACAAGTTAATTATGAATATTTATTTTAGTAGAGCAATAATTTTTGAAGTGTTTGTAGCGGTAGGTACTTTAAAATAAAATAATTAAATCAATACTACTTGTATAACTTGGCTGACAATGATATTGATAAAGCAGTTTTTTATTGCAATATAATTGCATTCAGTAAATTTCCTCATTTTTCGTTGTCAGGACTTTACAGTTTCTGGTTTTAAATAATTACGCAAATTCCATAATCGGTTCATTATAAATTTGACATCATACTAATGTTAAAATTATTTTAAAAAAAATTGTTCCTGTCACAAAATTACGTATGTATATTATAATTCAAATGTCGATTATGATTCTCATATTAAAAATTCAATTATAAATTAAATTTGTCTCACCAAAACAAAAATTTTGCTATCACTGCCATGCAATAGAATAATAGCTGTATAATAAATCTGCCATTACTGCCATTCAATAGATTAATAGTTGCATAATAACTTGCAATCACTGCCGTAGAATAAATTAACAGCTGTATAATAACTTGCAATCACTGCCATGCAATAGATTAATAGCTGTATAATAAATCTGCCATTACTGCCATTCAATAGATTAATAGTTGCATAATAACTTGCAATCACTGCCGTAGAATAAATTAACAGCTGTATAATAACTTGCAATCACTGCCGTACAATACACTAATATAGTTGCATAATAGTGATGTTTTAGTTCTCAAAAATACCACAATATATTTAAAATTCATGTTTTATTATCGGAACAATTATAACATTTTTCTTTACTATGTTATTCTATTACTATAGTACTAATTTTTTAATTGTATGTGTTTTTAATTTATTTTAATTAGAAATCCTTAAATATTAATTATATAGAATGTTAGAGTCCTATACCTTGTATTTTATACTTTCATACTTAATTATTTTTGTAAAGAATTAAGTACCCTCTCTCTTCATTCATAGATGGCCACTTAAATTTCTATTTCTTTAAATTTCAATTTCTCTTCTTCGAATTTCTTTTTTTTCTGTTCTCAACTGGTTGACTGATTATAAGATTGCATTTTTGATTTTTAAATTTTGGTTAATTATACTTATAATTTTATTGGAAAATTCTTTTCATAAACAAAACAAGAAAATAAATAAAAAACAAAAGAAAAATTTTAAAATAAAATGAAAAATTTTCTTATAGAAAATAAAATTTAATTTTTTAGTTTTAAGTAAAGGCCAGATTTTCTATTTTCATTTCTTCTTCTTCACTTTTTGTTTTTGTTTTTTCTTTAAAACATTAAAATTCACATAAAAAAAAAAATGACCTTAACTGTTATTAATAATTTTTTTTTTCGTAGTTTATTTTCATTTTAATTTTTTTTAATTGTAAAATATTTTTAAGGTTTTATTTCCCCCCTCCCCCCCCCCCTAGCTTTGCTTGTAAAATATTTTTGTTTTTATATTCAAACTGCCATTAATTTTTAAGATAAATTAAAAGTTTCTACTACCCTTCCAACCACCCTCTACCAGTTCATGTACCATGTCTTTACCACACCATTCATGTTCCTTAATTTGCAAGTTTCTTTCTCTCTTTTTATTTTCTTCTCTCTTGTAATTTTAAATTTAAAAAAAAAAAAAAACTATGTATGTACAAAATAAAATTTTGTTTATAAAGAAAATATAAAAATTTTTGAAACGAAAAAAAAAAAAAAAATGAAATTATATTTTCTCTTTTTTTTTTGTTTTATTTTTTTTTGTAGAAAAATAAAGAAAAAAAAACCATTAAAAAAAAATCTATAGAAATTTTTTTTTGTGACTTTTATTTTGCCCATTTGAAAAAATTCTAAAATAAATTTGATTTTTTTTTTTAGGTTTTATGAATTTCGGATAAGCATGATGTCCTTTTGGAATTGGAATTTGTAAATTGCTTAACCAACTGATGATTAGCTTTTAATTTGCACTACAATCATATGAAAAATTTTTAATAATCTTAAAATTTTTTTTATGGCTTAGTTATCAAAACAATGAGATGACATACTCGTAGAGGATTCTGAAACGTAAAAAATTAAGTTCTCCACATGATACCCGTACGAATATAAAATGTTCCTATTACTGAACTTCGTGTATTAATAAACTTGAGTTGTGCTGAAAATTCTACATTAGAACTAAAATTTGTAAGGCGCTAAATAGTATGCAAAAACTTTAGCTAAGTTTGTTTTATTTACACCGTCTACAAATACTGGAGCTTTTAAATAATCAGTTGTTCGAAAATAACAGAAATGACATTGTTTATGAAATTGTATCCCAATATTTTTTGTCTTCCAATTTACTGCAAAACAAGGAAATTTTAACAAGATTTAAAAACCTAAAGAAAACTTACTTTAATAACCCTTCAATATCTGACTCTGTTATTTTGAAATCTAAATTTTTTTTTCTTGAATTTCAATTAAAAAAAAAAAATAAGCAAATATCATGAAACAGTGCCAAAATTTAAACTATAGGTCTGCGTTACATTTCTAACATTTCTTTATTACAGATTGAATTTCCGAATGCACTTTATAGCAGTCAGTAATGTCCGAACAATCTATATTTTCGAACGTACTACAAGCCAGAACTATTCTAGAACTGAATAAACGAAAACCCCCGTACTTTAGTCGTACTTTATTTGCGTAATTGTTATTTTTTGGAAATTGTGTGATGGCTATTATAAGAACTTATACAATTCATCACCTCAACCAATTTTTACTGGAATAGTGGCAGTATTATCCCAGTCTTTTGTGCGAAAAACCTTTATTTGAATACTTTCCACCTTATAGTTTTCTATAAATAGGAGCAAATTATTTATAAAGCTGTATAGTAACTACTAGGAGCTTATTTCTTACCGTTATCAACGAATTATTAAGTTAACTTATGCTTACCTTTAAATACATTCGTTCGTACAGGTGCAAATACTATGAAAAGGGCTTATAATGAAAAATTAATAACATTACACAAAAATTTTTGTAAAATCTTAAAATGTTAAAATGTTTCTGCCTAATTTAAGAACGATTCTCAATAATGTTTGCATTTGAAACTTTAATTTAATTTCTAATAAAGAAGACTGCATAATAAAGAACTAAGAACATTTAAAAAATTTCGTAAAAAATTAAAAATGCAATCATCCCCTCTATTATGTATATCGGTATCGGCCGATAAACGATAATTTATCGGCAAAATTTTGTGTTTGTATTACCAACATTGTTTATCGGTAAATTTTATCGGAGTCGGGAAAGCTTTTTTTCCTGTATAGGAAACATATTAGCTGGTATTATGAAAACGATAAATTGTCGGATTTTCACCGATTTAAAAGCGGGTACAAATTTTTAGACGACAGATTTTTTTTTTTGTAAAATCTTCATTTTATCAAGGAAACTGGTGTAATTAATTGCTTTTTTAAAATGTAAGCATTTTTTCTAAATTATTTTCTTTCAAAATGTTATTCATATATTTTATTTAGGAGTAAAATCGTAAGCAACAAAAAACAAATTGCGCGGTTAGTAGAAAAAATGGAAGAGGACTTAAACCTGGCAAGGAATGATAATCTGAAATTCTGGATAAACCTAAAAAATGTGTACATATTATATAAATAATAAAATAAAATAGGTACATAAACATACATTTTGTTGTCTAAATCCAATGGATTAGTTGAATCTCTTATATGTCGTCTTTGAATAGCTTGCGTTTCTTCACTTACTACCGTTTCTTCACTTTCAAAATATAATGCACGCGACATTTTCCCGATATATGTATATTTTTATTTTACAAATTTAACAGAAAATAATTTGCTTACAACAACTTTTTAGCACATCAAAACCAAATTCAAAATAGTTTTAAAAATTTTTTGAAAATAACTTTTGAAAGAAAACAAATGTCATTAGAAAAAAAAAACTTTT